GGTGGTTAGTTCCCATTGTGTATCCATCTTGCCCCATACTTTCTCTTTCATTCTGCTCTCCCCATTCCTATGCCGGCCCTGTGTTCGAGGCGGCCACGCGGATCGGAGCATCGATGCTCTTTGCTTTTCCCGCCCGCCCTCCCAAACGGGGCGGTGGTGGTGGCGGTGGAGAGCGCGTCGCCTGGAGGCTGAGGGCCGCCGCCGCTGGCGCGCGCCCGCTACTCCCACCTCCGCGAGGCTGGTGGTTCACGCCCCGCGGGCCGGGACCATCTTCGGGTCTTTCCTTCGCCTCCGCGAGGCTGGCGGCCCGCGCTCCGCGGGCCGGGGCCGCTTCCGGGAGTGCGCCTTCGCCTCCGCGAGGCTGGTGGTTCACGCCCCGCGGGCCGGGATCATCTTCGGGTCTCCCTTTCGCCTTCGCGAGGCTGGCGGCCCACGCCCTGCGGGCCAGGGCCGCCTCCAGGGTTGCGCCCTCGCCTCCGCGAGGCTGGCGTTCCACGCCCCGCGGGCCGGGGCCGCCTCCCGGATTGCCCCTTCGCGCCTCCTCGAGCGCGCCCCACGGGCCGGACTCATCTGCGGGGCTTCCCCTTTTCGCCTCCACGAGGCCGACGGTCGGGCCCCGCGGGCCCCGCGTCGTCCTGCGCAGCGCAGTTTTTTCACTCAGTCGCAACGGACCTGCTGAGCACGCAGGGCGCGGCGCACTGATGTGGAAGAGAAAGTGCCCACCTATCTTCTCAAGGGTGGCTGGGTGTGGTTGCAGGAAAGGGAGTGCTTGTCCGTTATTCACAGGTCAATTGAGGACAATGGCACTCCTTATGCATGGTTGGCGGGTGGTTAGTTCCCATTGTGTATCCATCTTGCCCCATACTTTCTCTTTCATTCTGCTCTCCCCATTCCTATGCCGGCCCTGTGTTCGAGGCGGCCACGCGGATCGGAACATCGATGCTCTTTGCTTTTCCCGCCCGCCCCCCCAAATTGGGTGGTGGTGGTGGTGGAGAATTCGTCGCCTGAAGTCTGAGGGCCGCCGCCGCTGGCACGCGCCCGCTATTCTCGCCTCCGCGAGGAGGATGGTTCACGCCCCGCGGGCCGGGACCATCTTCGGGTCTTTCCTTTGCCTCCGCGAGGCTGGCGGCCCACGCCCCGCGGGCCGGGGCCGCCTCTGGGACTGCGCCTTCGCCTCCACGAGGCTGGTGGTTCACGCCCGACGTGCTGGGATCAGCTGCCTCCACGAGGCTGGCGGCCCGCGCCCCGCGGGCCGGGGCCGCCTCCACCAGGGTTGCACCCTCGCCTCCACGAGGCTGGCAGTCCACGCCCCGCGGGCCGGGGCCGCCTCCCAGGATGCCCCTTCGCGCCTCCTCGAAGCTGATGGTCGCGCCCCACGGGCCGGACTCATCTGCGGGGCTCCCCCTTCAGCCTCCGCGAGGCCGGCGGTCGGGTCCCGCGGCCCCGCGTCGTCCTGCGCAGCGCAGTCGTTTCACACAGTCGCAACGGACCTGCTGAGCACGCAGGACGTGGCGCACTGATGTGCAAGAAAAATGCCCGCCTATCCTCTCAACGGTGGCTGGGTGGTGGTGCAAAAAGGGAAGTGCTTGTCCCCTGTAGCCCTACAGCCCTATAGCCCTATAGCTCTATAGCCCTATAGCCCAATAGCCCAATAACCCAATAACCCTACAGCCCATGTAGCCCTATAGCCCTATAGCCCTATAGCCCTATAGTCATATTGCCGTACAGCCCATATAGCCCTATAGCCTTATAGCCCTATAGCCCTATAGCCGTAAACCAAGTCTGATGGGGTTTTCTCGGGTATCACTTACACATGCATATACATGTACATTCACACATCTACATATTTGTAGTTCTGTATATATGTATTTATGTATATATATATATAGAGAGAGAGAGAGAGAGAGAGAGAGAGAGAGAGAGAGAGAGAGAGAGAGAGAGAGAGAGAGAGAGAGAGAGAGAGAGGAAAGAGAGGGAGGAACAGAGAGAAAGAGAGACAACCAAACAACTATGATAACACATGACGGAGTAGAGAGAGAGAGAGAGAGAGAGAGAGAGAGAGAGAGAGAGAGAGAAAAAGAGAAAGAGGAGAGAGAGAGAGAGATAGAGAAGAGAGAGAGAGAGAAAGAGAGAGAGAGAGAGAGAGAAATAGAGAGAGAGAAAGAAAGAGAGAGAGAGAGAGAGATAGAGAGATAGAGAGAGACAGAGATAGGGAGAGAGAGGGAGGAAGCTAGAGAGAGGTATAACCAATCAGTTCGGATAAATATAAACGGAGTAGAGAGAGAGAGGGAGACAACAAGTGATTCATAAGGAAAGCCTGCGTGTATGAATACATAAATGCGCAGAGACCATAATGAGTGACATGTCTATAGAGAGAAAGACTGAGATAATAATGAGAGAGAGAGAGAGAGAGAGAGAGAGAGAGAGAGAGAGAGAGATAGAGAGAGAGAGAGAGCGAGGGAGAGAGATCACTAGACTGAGCTACAATGCGCATTCGAACCAGACTAGGTCAGGTCGGGAGGAAGGCCGATCGAGGTACCTGCGAAAAGTTCAGACGTTCACGGGAGCACCTGGGAACCTGGCCGTCCACCGAAATCGGCCCCGAGCTCGGAATTCGGGAACCCGGAGCGGGGATCCCAGGGACCCCGGCCGCCCACCGGAGTCGGTGCCGAGTCTTCGCTTACTCCTTGCGCGTTGGAGGTTCGCGGAGCAGAGCGCCCCATCATTTACATTTTTTTTTTCGTTTGCCTAGGGTGGGTCTCCAGAGGGGGCTTGGGGGGCACCTCATGACTATCCTGGGGCCTCCTTGGGGCATGGAGCCGTGCAGAAGGCTAGTCGAAATCCCAGGGTTTGTTTTGGAAGCGCTGTTCACATCCGCTTAAACACCAGCGAGGGCTGGTGGGATTCAGAAGGAGAGGGAGAGAGGTAGAGAGCGAGAGACAGCAGCATACATGTACATATACACATGTGTATATTCACTCATGTGCTAGATTAGTGCATATCTACAGTACACACAACATACATGCCCATATATTAATAAAGAGGGAGAGAGGGAACGAGAGTGGGCCTGAGAGAACTCGATGTAGAGGGGCGGTTTAGACTTCTTCACTTGAGAGCGAGCAAGCCCTCCAGCAGGCGAGCACGCAAGCATGCGCTGCCAACGCTGCGCGTGTAGCACACTGGCGCGCAAGGTGTGAAACCTTCTGATGTCCTGACTGCTTGTGGCAAAAGTGTATGTGCAGCATGCGAGGAGACGGACTGTCCCTCTTCCTCAAGATTCTGCTCGTCATCACCCCATCACGTATTATCCAGGTTGACGCTCGAGGCGATAGTATTGGCCGCCAGATAGCCTCGCTATACTTGCGTGGCATGGCAGAGGCGCGGGTTGTGCACCCCAGTCGCGTGTGTTGCGTTTGCATGAACAGGTGTGCGCGTGCATGCTGCCCTAAACCTCTACCAGGCACGTCTGACCGTTACTTCCGCAACAGTGCGCCGCTGACCGCAGCCGTGTACACGTCGCCAAACCAGTTCTCTGTCTGGTCTGCGTCGATCGTGCCACCAACATGATCATATCCGTAAGGGCTTCGCCCCCTGCCGCCGGCCCCCTCTCTCGGAGAATGGGCCATGGAAGAGCTAAGTCATGAGGCCTTGGCGCTGTCGTGAAGCAGTATCGAAACTTCATGCGAAGCCGAGTCGCAATCAGCAACACCAACTGATCACAAGAGGGGTTACCACACCTTGCGATTGGTAAGACGTGTATGGTTTAAGGGTTTGGTTACCACACCTTGCGATGAAAGGGCCGAGGGAGTTCTCGCAGTTTGGGTTACCACGCCTTGCGATGGATGTGCGTGATGGGTTGGAATTTCAGAAATGCGGCAAATCCCCTGTGTTTTTGGACCCTGACCCCGCGGATCTGCGTAAGGGGTGGCGCCGAATTTCAGAAATGTGGCAAATCCCATGTGTTTTTGGACCCTGACCCCGCGGATCTGCGTGAGGGGTGGCACCGAATTTAAGAAATATGGCAAACCCCATGTGTTTTTGGACCCTGACCCGCGGATCTGCGTAAGGGGTGGCGCCGAATTTCAGAAATGTGGCAAATCCCATGTGTTTTTGGACCCTGACCCCGCGGATCTGCGTGAGGGGTGGCACCGAATTTCAGAAATGTGGCAAATCCCTGTGTTTTTGGACCCTGACCCCGCGGATCTGCGTGAGGGGTGGCACCGAATTTCAGAAATGTGGCAAATCCCATGTGTTTTTGGACCCTGACCCCGCGGATCTGCGTGAGGGGTGGCACCGAATTTCAGAAATGTGGCAAATCCCTGTGTTTTTGGACCCTGACCCCGCGGATCTGCGTGAGGGGTGGCACCGAATTTCAGAAATGTGGCAAATCCCGTGTGTTTTTTGGACCCTGACCCCGCGGATCTGCGTGAGGGGTGGCACCGAATTTCAGAAATGTGGCAAATCCCATGTGTTTTTGGACCCTGACCCCGCGGATCTGCGTGAGGGGTGGCACCGAATTTCAGAAATGTGGCAAATCCCATGTGTTTTTGGACCCTGACCCCGCGGATCTGCGTGAGGGGTGGCACCGAATTTCAGAAATGTGGCAAATCCCATGTGTTTTTGGACCCTGACCCCGCGGATCTGCGTGAGGGGTGGCACCGAATTTCAGAAATGTGGCAAATCCCATGTGTTTTTGGACCCTGACCCCGCGGATCTGCGTGAGGGGTGTCGATTCCGAGCCCCCCCAGCAATTCAGACAACGCGCCCAGGGGACGCTGGAAAATCCTGTTTGGGCCTCCCCCCCCCTCGCGCGGTCAATCAACTAGTTACAGTAACCAGCAAGAAGCAGAACTGTAACACTGGAGACTACAAGCTACAACTGGTACTGGAAACTGCGAACCCGTGCCTACAGCCTGGTGGCCCCACAAGGGGGCCAGCGGATTTGCGCGCATTTGTGTAAGTACGGAACTTGCTCGGGAAGCCGAGTCGCGAGCGCTCAGGTGAACGTCTGTGAGAAGATCCTGAGGCATCCACAGTTTTCTGCCGATGGTGCACTGACAGCCAACGGGGATCGGACGTTGCTTCATATGTGTTCCTTCAGTGCTTGCTCTCCTTACTGATGTAGCATGGGTGAGTGCTCGGACTCCAGGCGTCGCAACCCAAAGGGGCTTACGTCTTGAAGCATATGAAGCTGGCGCGACATGGCGCTTTGTGTAGCATTGCTTGGCATGTTGCTTGGCATATTGCTCGGCATCTAGCTCGGCATTGCTTGGCATATTGCTTGGCATAGTGCTCGGCGTAGTGCTTGGTATACTGCTTGGCATATTGCTTAGCATATTGCTTGGCGTTTCTTGGTGCTGCTTGGCATTGCTTGGCGTTGCTCGGTATCGCTTTGTATTGCTTGGCGTATTACTTGGCGCTGCTTTGCCTTGCGAGGCGAGGCAGCAAAGCACCAAGACTAAGGAACAAAGCCCAAGAATCCAGGAGCCAGGGAGCCAAGGCCAAATAACCAAGGAGCCAGGGAGCCACGACCAACGAACCCAGGAGCCAGGACCAAGGAGCCAGGGAACCAATACCGGGGAGCCCCGAGGAGCGCTGGCTGGCGCAGTCCCAGCACCCACCTGGCCCTTCGAAGACAGATGTCCGCCTCTCAGTCGAAGCCTGTTTGGGGGAAGAACTGCCCCTGCAAGCGGCTGAGGTCTTCGAGCCTGCGTATGGAGCGACGCAGAAGGAAGGGGGCGCCTGCGCCGACATTGGCGCGTCAGCTGCCCACGTAGGGGCGCGCGTGAGCGCCTTCTTCTCCAGAGCGTGCCGCGCTGGCGGCCCGCTTAGGCCACCGCGCAAGGTCGCCGTGCCATCTCGCGTCAGCCGCGCTCTCTCTCATCGTCGCGCACGTGTATGTGCGGTGGACGTCGGCCTCCGAGTGGAGGCTCCGCGGGCCTTTTCCCGTTCTATTGGCCCGCTCCCCCACCCCTCAGTGCATGCCCATCTCACCTTACACGCCGGTCATTGAGAAAGTAGATGTTCTAGGGTTCCCAGATCCCAGTCTGCTCTGGGCGCCTTCCTACTGCGAGGGTCGAGTGGTTTTCCCTCTTCCCTCCTCTTCGGGGGGCGGGCGGGAGCCCAATCTACTTCCAATGCCTTCTTGCTTCATGCGTCTACCCACGTCTTCCGACCGATGGGTGCGCGTTACTTACACCTGGACCCCTCCTGTCCTGCCCCCACAACTCTCCCTCGACCATCCGTCGTGTTGCTTGGCGCTGCCTCCTCCTCCGCTGCCCCCAGCGCTGCGTCTGCGGCCCAACCTCTCCCTGACCGCCCCTCCGCTGCGGGAGCCCTGGGCCCTCAGGGGGCAGAAGCCGAGCTGGGGCCTCGCCAGCCCGTCTCTCGGCGCCTGCCTCCTGCGTGCCCGCCCCTCCCCCCTCCGGGCGGGGCCAGGACCACGATGCATCGTGGGCGAAAAGCAGAGCCGTATCCACGGCGTCGCTGGCCGGGCCCCCGGGCCGCGACCCCGCGGAGACGGGGGGGCTCTTTTTGCGGATGCCCCACGCAGAGCGAGTCCGTGTGACGGCGTATCCGGGGGGTCGCGCCCCAGAGTGCAGACCGCGAGGGCGCGCGTACGGGTGTGCTCGCCGCACGTTCCAGAGCGTCCCCGATCGCTCTCAGAGTTTTTCGGAGCGCTCTGGAACGGCCGCGGCGCCCAGCACGTCCTGCAGAAGCGCCAGATCTCGGAGGTCCCTGATCCGTCCCCCTCCAGCTTCTGCCTGGACGAGGGCGCAGCACTGCCCGCCAGGAGACGGCGCTCCACTGGGCCGCCAGGAACGGGCACCAGGAGGCGCGCCCCATCCCCTTTGCCGCACCGCGCGGGTTGCAGGAAGGGCCGTGATGGGGGGCGGGGCGGGTTGCACAGGGTCGCGCTCACAGGGTCCCGCCCTCGGTTGCCTCCGTCCGCGGGGCGAGCCGTTCTGGTGGGAGGGTTCGGGCCCCCTGCGGCTCCTACTGGGTCCCGCAGGATTCGTGTAGGGCCCCCATGAGGTTCCGCAGACCCCGTAACGGGTTTCGTAATAATTACAGATGTAAGGATTATACATATATGTATATATATATATATATATATATATATATATATATATATATGCGTATATATATATATATGTATATACATACATATATATATATATATGGTTTTCTGCGAAACAAAGGATCCTTGCGCAGCCCAATCGGAGCCCCATAGGATCCCAGCGGATCCATATGGGAGCGTGGGAGGATCCCCACGGCACCTGGTGGGGGGACGAAGGCCCCCCCAGGGGGGTTGCTGGGGTGCCTGAGGATGCCCCAGGGGATTCCTAGGGCTTCCGATGGGTTCCGACGATTCCTCGGATTCCGAAGAATTTTGAAGAATTCCTATGGATTTTAGGGATTCCTGCGATTTCTTGGGGATTCCTAGGAGTCCGAAGGTTTCCTAAGGATTCGTAAGGCATCCTAAAGGATACCTAGGGATTCGTATGGATTCGTATGGATTCCGATGGATTCTTGAGGATTCCTCAGCATTCCTAGAGGAATCCTAGGGATTCCTTCGGACCCCCCGTCGGTTTCATATGTATTCCTGAGGATTAGTGAGGAGCCCTAGGGATCCCTGAAGGATCGTGAAGGATTCCTAGGGACTCTTCGGGATCCCTAGGATTTCCTACGGATTCCCAAGGGGCCGAGTCGTTCGGGCGCCTCGTCCTGGTGTGAGTCGTTCGGGCCACTCCTTCTGGTGTGAGTCGTTCGGGCTCTTCGTGGTTTGAGTCGTTCGGGCCCCTCGTCCTGGTGTGAGTCGGTGCATCTCCTCGTGGGGCCTCTTGGGGGCCTCTTGGAGCCTCTTGGGGCCTCTTGGGGGCCTCTTGGGGGCCTCTTGGGGGCCTCTTGGGGGTCTCGTGGGGCCTCTGGGGGGCCTCTTGGGGGCCTCTTGGAGGCCTCTTGGGAGGCTCCGGGGGGCCTCTTGGGGCCATCTTGGGGCATCTTGCGACCTCCTCAGAAGCGCAAAGGAGCGCTGCCCCCTGAGAAGGACAAAATGAGGCCAACACCTTCGTAAAATTAATGATTTTGCTATGAAGGAAGATGAGCGCGGCCCCCCTCAGGAGGCCAAAATGGGGCCCAAACCGTAGTAAAATCAATGATTTTAGCTTGAAAGAAGAGGAGAGGAACCTATCTCCGCCCCCCCGTCGGGGCCAGAATCCTCGTGAGGGTCGTCGTTTTTTAGCCCTCCCAGGAGTCGAAAAAGACCCCTCTGACCACCCGCGGGGGTCCCTCTCCAGGCCCAGGGGGAGGGGGTAGGGGGAGGGGTAAACCCCTCCCCGAAAGGGAAGAAGGGGGGTTGAGGACAGAGCGGGCTCTCTAAACCACTCACGCCCAAAGGGCTGGTGGGATTCCTTTGTACTCAGAGGGGCTCGTACGGATTCCTAAGGATTCCTATGTTTTCCGACGTTTTCCTAGAGATTTCTACGGATTCCTAAAGAGTGTAGGGGTCCCTACGGATCCCTAGGAATTGCTTCGGGTTCATCGGGATTCCTATGGGTTCTCAAGGATTCCTAAGGGGTCCTAGGGAGCCCTAGGGATCCCGATAGATTCCTAACGACTTCTAGGATTTCCTATGGATTCCTGAGGATTCCTGGTTCCCCGGGATTCCTTAGGTGTCCGAAGGGTTCCTATGGATCCCTAAGGATTATCTGGGATTCCTGAGGATTCCTATGGGCCCTGGGGCTTCCTTGGGATCCCGAAGGATTTCTATTTTTTCTTATGTATTCCTAAGGGTTCATACGGGTAAGGTTTCCGAGGGATTCATAAGGATTCCTAGGGATTCAGATGGATTCCTTAGGATTCTTCCGGATTCCGATGGGTTCCCATGAAGGGATTCTCAGGATTAGAAGGATTATTATGGATGAGCGGGTTCTTCCGGACTCCTTCGAATTATTATGGATTCCTAGGGATTCTAAGTATTTTTGAAGGTTCGTAAGGATTCCTCGGGACGCCTAAGGATTCTTAGGGTCTCCTAAGGGTTCCTATGAATTCCCTACGGGTCCCCAAAGGATTCCGAACGATGCCGAGGGGTTACAAGGGATCCCCAATGCTTCCCAAACTATCCTAAGGATTCCTTCGAATTCTTCCGGATTCCCACGGACTTTTCAGAATTCTTGAGGATTATTTAGCAACCCAAGTGATTTCTCATGGTTCTCAAGGATTCGTAAGGCATCTGATGGTTACCAATGGATTCCCAGGGGGGGATTCTTAAGGATTCCTTGGGGTTCCTATGGGTTCCTGACAACTCTGACGGAGTCCTAAGCATTCACAAGCGCTCCTAAGGATTCCTAAGGATGCCTAATGGTCCCTAAGGATCCCGACGAATTCCGATGTATTCCTGCGGATTCCTAAAGGGTTCCCACGGATTCCTAGGGGTTCCTAAGGATTCATCAGGATTCCTCGGGATTCCTGGGGATTCGACAGGACTCCGAAGAATCCCTGATAATTCCTCAGGATACATCGGGGCCCCTGGAGATTCCTTAGGGTTCCTCCAGATTCCTCGGGTCCTAAGGAGTCCGAAGGAATTCAAATAATTCCCGAGCATGCTTGAGGATTCCGAAGGATTATGAAGGATTCTGATGGAGTCCTCAGGGTTCCTAAGGCTTTTCCGAAGGATTCCACCGGAATCCCAAGGATTCCGAAGGCATTCTAAAGATTCAGAAACATTCCCCTAAGCATTTCTAAGGATTCCGAAGGATCCCTACGGATACCTACGACTTCGTAACGATTCATGAGGATTCATAAGGATTCCGAATGATTCCGAAGGGTTTCTAAGGAGTCTTGAGGATTCCCCAGGATTCATCCAGATTCCTAAGGCTTCCGAAGGTTTCCCAATGATCTTTTGTCAGATTCCTATAGATTCCGAAGGATTCCTTTGGATTCCTAAGTGTTCCTAAGGATTCCGAAGGATTCCTTAGGACCCCCAAATATTCCAAAT